TTTATATGTATATACGCAAGTTTCATAAATATTGTTTCAAAGATCCAATAGTATAGATGTATATGCGAGTAATTTGTAGATGTACTGTTGGAGTCAAAATTATTAGCCCATATTTCCAAAATTGTGTTTAACAGAACAAGGACATTTTCATAGCATGTCTAATTTTGTATTTTTTTTTTTTTCTGGAGAAAGTTTTTTATTTTTTTATTTTGGGCTAGAATAAAAGCAGTTTAAGGACAAAATTATTAGCCCCTTTAAGCTATATTTTTTAGATAGTCTACAGAACAAACCATCATTATACAATAACTTGCCTAATTACCCTAACCTGCCTAGTTAACCTAATTACCCTAGGTAATCCTTTAATTGTCACTTTAAGCTGTATAGAAGTGTCTTGAAAAATATCTAGTAAAATATTATTCACTGTCATCATGGCAAAGATAAAATAAATCAGTTATTAGAAATGAGTTATTAAAACTATTGTTTGGAAATGTGTTAAGAAATATTCTCTCCGTTAAACAAAAATTAAAAAATAAACATGCATGCTAATAATTCAGGGGTGCTAATAATTCAGACTTACTGTATATGCACCTGTTTTATCTATGTGTTTATAAGAAAAGTCCTACACGGCACCTCATAGCTGGATGTTGTTCTCTTGAAAAATAATTGTTTGTACTGGTCAAAACTGATTAGCTGAAGTCACACCAAGACTCAGCTTAGTCTTAAAGTCTTATTTTTACTATTTGTGATGGCATAGCAGTCAAAATAGGACAAATGAGCTCATGTTTGGGACAAACATAGCTTAGCTGTGGGCCTGTGCTATTCAAATGCCTAAAAGTGCCCCTATTTGGATAAAGTTTGGTTTTGGAAGTCCTCAACAACAGGCTGATATGCATGCAAGGTCAAAAATATTCCTTCTTTCTTTATAATAAGCGTTTGTTTTAACCAAATCATCTCAATGACTTCCATATGATTTGTTTAGTGATTCAATTTTCCAGACCCCTCTTTAGCCTGATGCTAAACTGCAGTGATTTTACAGTGAACAGACTAACCCAGTCTGTTGTGATTGGTGCGCATTGGTATTCTTGTGGACAAGCTCAAAGCAATTTAGGCTGTGTGCCATCTATACATTTATATTTTTGATCAAAATTGCATAAGAAAACTAGGCTTTAGTACCTGCAAGGAAAAATCTGGCAACCACATAGAAACATTTAGAAATATAGCTTGTTTTTTTTTTTTAATTGATGTCGCTTTTTTGATTGCATATTTGAGAAATTGTGGTATATGTACTAGCAGAAAAAGCAGACCAAATATAGGTGAATGTCGCACACATGTTGCATTAGCATGCGTGAGCCTACTGGTGGTTGTTTGGATGTGGTTGAATTCTTTGGGGGATTTTAACCATGGCTGTGGTTTATAGGTTCAGCTGTTTTAAAGGAATTAACAATGGCATCATTACCCTCCATAATTAATCATGAGCCACTGAAAGAAGAAGGAAATCTGTGGTTAGAATAAATAAATAAAAAAGAGAGCAAAAAAATTGTATGATGGCCCATATAATTTTTAGTGAATAATCCAGTGAAGGGCTGAATTTAGAGATCTCCGGGATTTGAAAGGGCTGTGAAGAAAGGAAGTAATGAAAATGAGGTTTGGAGGTTGGGACTGAGCTCTTAGATGTGGCCCTAGTGGGTTTGTTTGATCAGAGCTCACTGGATTTCACATCTTTCCTCACACACACATGGTTCTTGTGCAAGCAGAGCCCTTTGTTTCTCCTCAATCTTTAATTAAGACCCTAAAATTTGCTCAAGAAAGACAGTAAAACTGTCAGATTCAAGGTGGCCGTCTGTCTCACCTCAATATATTTAAGAACTCTCATATGTGAGCTTCACATTGTGGCTTCGACACTACAAAAATGATGTTTTGTGAAAATGGTGGCATTATGCACATACAAACAAAAATGGTGGACCACAGCAGTCACTCCCAACCTGGGTCAATTAATTTGCATACTATCTGTCCTAAATAGTATTTGAAAATAGAATTAGTACAATTAGGTCCATAAATATTTGGACATAGACAATTCTAACATTTGCTCTTTCAGGCCTCTACAGCCACCATCTTCAGTTCCTGCTTGTTCTTGGGGCAATGTCCTTCAGTTTTGTCTTCAGAAAGTGAAATGTAAGCTCAATCGGATTCAGATCAGGTGATTGACTTGGCCATTGCATAACATTCCACTTATTTCCCTTCAAAAACTCTTTGGTTGCTTTTGCAGTATGCTTTGGGTCATTGTCCATCTGCTCTGTGAAGCGCTGTCCAATGAGATCTGAAGTATTTGGATTAATATGAGCAGAAAATATTGCCTGAAAAACTTCAGAATTCATCCTGTTGCTTTGGTCAGCAGTCACATAATCAATAAATATGAGAGAACCAGTTCCATTGACAGAGATGCCCACGCCATGTCACTACTACCACCATGCTTCACTGCTTAGGATCGTGAGCTGTTCCTTTCTTTATCCATACTCTACTCTTCCCATCACTCTGATACAAGTTGATCTTGATCTCATCTGTCCATAGGATGTTTTTCCAGCACTGTGAAGGCTTTTTTAGAACTCTAATCTGGCCTTCCTGTTTTTGAGGCTCACCAATGGTTTACATCTTATGGTGAACCCTCTGTATTCACTCTGGTGAAGTCTTCTCTCGATTGTTTAGTCTGACACACATACACCAACCTCCTGGAGAGTGTTCTTGATCTTTGGTGTTGCTGAGCTCACTGGTGGGTTCTATCTTTTTAAGAATGTTCCAAACTGTTGTTTTGCAACAACAATGTGAATTTACATCAAGATGTGTTTCATTTTATTGCCCAATTAACCCAATGGTTAAATTTACCCATATTTTATCCAAAATTTGGTTGAAATAACTTAGCCTTTTTTGTGTACAGCCAACTAAATGTTGATCTTTTAAAAAATGTAGATGTCTATAGATGAAAACTTTCAAAAATGGTTTCATGGATGTTTGTTTCTTCATGTAACCATAAATTCCAACTGAGAACCTTTTTTAAGAGTTGTCTGTCTTTTAACACAGAAAACCACCATTCTATAGCTGAACTGAACGTCATTCACTTAATGAAAGTATTTGTGGAATCCTTCTGGCTTGATAAAGATAATTTCCCTGTCCATTGATGCACCGTGTCACCTTGTTTGCCCTTAAAACATTCTCTAAGCGTGTGATTGTAAGACATGCAGCGCTGCATTTGTTAAAACACTGCACATGAGATCCTTAAAATGTCAGGCAAAGGAAATGACTGTTTACTGAATTAAAGATAAATACTCACCTCGACTTGGTATTTCCTGTCATCCTGTTTTTCATCCACACAAACTCAAACAAGAAAACAAGAGAAGATTCTGACAGGCTCTGCAGAACAAAAAAAAGGGAATGTTTTTGAAATATACTCATTCAAAGAGAACACAAGATTAGATTTCACACCACACCGACATAAACTCACTTTATTTTGTAGCATTTACAAAACCTGATGTTTTTTCTCAAATCAATGGGATCCTTTATGTTAAAATGACTTCAAAAAATGTCAAAACTGCAAATCGATTTAATGTCAAAACCTTGACGTCTATTTAATACCCACACAGTGATGACCTTTCAACCACAAAAATAACAACACAAAGAGTGTTAAGTTTTTTTAGTCTTCAATTTTTTTTACACCAATTTGATGTTGTTTTTATATTAAGATAGACTGCATGCATTGTAGGGATACAAAATCCTGTGTAAAAAAAACCCTTTGTAAATCCTGTGTAAATCCTGTGTAAATTTGCTTTCGGGTGAATAAACACTTTCTCATATAATACTTTTTACGTCATTATTTTGGTGGTCAAAATGGCATAAATGTGTGGACGTCAAATTGACTACAAGGTTCTAAATCAAAATCGATTAGCTTTTTTTAATGTTTTATGTGTGTGTGTTTTTATGTAACTATGCTGTCAAGTTGCCTGCTGGGAAGTAAATTTAAAAAGTTTAAGGATCACGGCTGGTCCAGCATCAGCTACACATATTGCGCCAATCAGACTTATACTAACTCACTATAAACAACCAGACTTTTTTACTTCAGTCATCTTTGTCTTGAAGAATCCCCCCTTCCACCCCTGCTCATCCTCCTTCTCCTGAAGTCAGCCCAGTGGTTACCACTGTTGCCTCGCAACAAGAACGTCACTGGTTCGAGCCCTTACCGGGCCAGTCAGCAATTCTGTGCAGAAATGCTCATTCTCCCCGTGCTTGCGTGGCTTTTCCATGGGTTCCCTGGTTTTCTCTCATCGTCCAAAGGCATGCAATATAAGTAAACTGACTAATCCAAAGTAGCATCATATACAAACTCTTAGTCAGCTATATCCCACAGCTGTTCCTAACACATTGACAAGCAGAGGCCTTCTCGAGACCTACCTGAGCTCAACCTCCCCTCTTGCCCTTCAAACAGGAGAGAGCCCTGGGCTCGAGGATAGCTCAGAGCTCTCTCCCGGGACAGCATGCCAAACATGTTTTGTTATCAATCATCAGCAAGTGTAAACTCTTGAAAAATAAAACAAAAAACCAGGCTACTATCATTTTTCTTTTCATTCGTTACCATTTTGTCAGACTTGGAATTATAAGGTTCTATCTGCGTTCTGAATGATTTTGAGATTTTGAGCTTCAAAGTTTTTGCATTCCATAGCAAACAATATGTGTACATTTTTTTTTATATAGTCTTAAAATGCAAACAACATTCCATAATGTAAATAAGTTGTCATTTAATAAGAATATGTCAATAACTCAATTTTGACAAAAATGTCAGATAGAAACCTTATAATTCTAAGGTGACGATTTGTTTAATTATCTGTAAAATATAGGCCTTACTACCAATTTTTAACTAATACTTAACCAACTTTTGTCAGTGCCGCTGAGCTCAAACACAGAAGTGTATAGTTTATCAAAGGTTTCTGACTTTTTTCCCTCTTTTCCTCTAGATGATGTTTTCTCAGACGTTCCTGATCCAGCATGGATGGCTCGTCTTTCTCTTCCTCTGTCAACCGACTACCATGAAAACCTGTTCATCCCGGATGGTCCACCGTCCCCTGATGCCCTCTGTACCATGAGCAGTCTTGATGATTTCACCTCCTTCTCCACTTTCGGCAAAACCCTGGAGTCGCAGCCACTGGGTGGCAGAGCTCTGATGTCAGAAGTGAGCTCTCTGTTTGAGATGCTGTTGACACAAAAAGCAGACGCACAGTCATGTCCACCGGCCGATGTTCTCTACAGACTCTCAGCAGCTTATGGACGATCACTCGGCTTAGATGTACCTGTAAATGGAGGTGCTGTTACCTCACGCCAACAAGCGCAGACTTCTATAATGTAGTATGCCAACCCTATCCCATAACGGGTTTCATGCAGTCTTTGGGAGCAATAGAATGACTCCATGTCAGTGGCCAAAACAGCTTGTAATATACAAGCGCTTTTTTAAACCCAGGTCTGTCTGGAACAGGCCGAACGAAACTTTTTTTAATATAAAAAAACAATAAACAACAAAAACAAATAAACATTTGTAGTGCATGAAATAAGACTGAAAAGAACTTGTATTTTTTGTGGTTCTTTTGCGACAAGAATACAGTTTTGTAAATTGCTATTCAACATTTTAAATCCTGATGAACTCAAAGCAGGTTTTTTTGTTCTTCTTTTGTGTTGAAAAGAATCAAAATACATGATCAGCAAAATACTGTGAGCAAACATCTTGTCTCTGCTGATAATGGTGTTCAGATGAATATGTGCTGAGTGTTTTACCCTCAATAACTATAAATGTAAACAACTGAATTATGAAAACCACTGTTAAGAAAGCATCTGATTTGATGATGTGGATAAAACAGTATCTGTTTTTACTCATGTATGTTTAGCCTCAATGGACTGAACAAAATATTTCACCTGTAAAAGGTTTACAAGTTGAAATTGACTGACAAATTATACAGCGGGCACAGAGATGTTGCAGAACTGAAAATGTTCCCTCAAATTTCTCTTAGTTTATTATGGTTTCAAACTCTTGAAACAAACTCAAAACAAACCTGATTTTGTTACGAATTAGGTTGTCCTTTCAAACTTCAAACAGTGAGCATAACAGACTTGAAATGTATGTGGTTATGTGAGTCATTTATCATATTTTCATTATTTTCATTTATCATATTATCATTATTTATTTTATGTTGAACACTTGTTGATTCTACATCATTCCAATTGACTGCAAATCAACATCGATTCAACATTAGGTAGTCAAAATAATTACATCAATTAAACAATAGGTAGACAAAATGATTACATCAATTTCATGTTGAATACAGGTTGATTCTATAAGGTGGATTCAATCAACTGAAAATCAACATCGTTTCAAGGTTAGGTAGTCAAACCAACTAGATCGATTTTAGGTTGAAGACATAATGATTATACATTGTTCCAATCGACTGCAAATCAACATCAATTTAACATTAGGTAGGCAAACAGTTTCTTCGATTTTATGTTGAATGTGTTGATTCAATAAGATAATTTTAATCGACTGAAAATCAGCATTGATTCAAGGTTAGGTAGTCAAACCAATTAGATCAATTTTATGTTGAACACATGCGGATACTATGTTTTTCCAACCAACCACAAATCAACATTTTTTCAATGTTAGGTAGTCAAACCAACTAGGTTGATTTGTGTTTAAAATGTTGATTCTATAACATTGTTTCGCTTTAACATTGTGTTAGTTAATCAATTGCACTGATTTCACATTAGATTTGAATGACGTGTACGGTAATTCAACATTACTCTGATGAGCAAAGCTATGTCGAGTTGATGTCAGAGTTCAACGTCGTGTTGATGTTGTGAGAAACAATGATTTCAGGTTGAAATATGTTAGTTTGCTATTTCAGATATTACCTAACTAAGCCATTTATTACAATTCTACAGTATTACAATAATGAAATATGTTCTAGTTCATAAAAATGCAATCTAAAAATTCTATCGTAACACCTTTAGGTGAACACCTTTTGTACACAAGCCTATAATGTTCATTACCATGAATACACAAAGGAATATTTGAGAATTAATTCAGAATAATTGGGTAATTTACAGTGAACATATACTCCAGTGAATTCTAAATACTAAAAAGTGTCATTCTTGTTTAGTAAAAACATTTTATGCAAGAAAATGTATTATAATTCTGACTTGTTAGTGTTTATAGTCATTATTTTGTTAGTAATTTGTTTGTTTGGTGTTAACTTTGCTTGTACTCTGGAAATATGAGTAGATTTGAGACGTTGATGAAGTAATTTGGTAGTATTAGTGCATTTTAAATGTGAACAATTACTGCTGTAATTTTTTTTTTTGTTTGAAAATTGTGGGACACATTTCGGGAATTGAGTCAATACTAATAATTATTCATTGTAATTAATTCACTTTGTTTAGTGCATAATATGAAAAAGAAACACTTATTCAAGTGTCTTTCTCTGAGAAGAAACGCTAGGCTCCACAGGTCGCCACTAGATGGAAGATTTCAGGTCTGAGGAGCGCCCACTGCTGGCTATTTTTGGTTATTTTTTATGTTAATTCACTGATGTAAATACGCTGTTTATTTGTTTTAAGTGCAGTTCCTGCTGTAGTCAAATAATTACGAAAGATACCTAAAATTATATTCAAGACTTTGTCACTGTAAGGACTGAAAGAACACGCAACAAAATTCAGTTATGCTCTGAATGTAACATTTGATTTTTTTTTCTCACTTTTTTGAGTAAATTATTGGTATCAAAACTAAGATGTATAATTCTGGCAACATCATTTTGTATATAAATGTAATACTCTGTTTTTATTCTTATAATTCACAGCACTTTTTGTAGTCCCATTTAAGCAGAATAAATGATTTTATAAACTTTTTTGTGTTTTAATTTTTACTCTCTAAAAAACATAAATTTGACATTAAGGTATATTTTAAGTGTGTGAGTACAGATCAATTCAGATTAGCATGAACTGTCAACATTGTAGACAAAGAGACAAAAAAAAGTAAATAGGCTTTTATTAGTGAGAATATAAAAAATATCATACTTAGAGTAAAAGGCCTATGTTATTCAGAGGCATCAAACCGAGTGTACATTTGCAGTTTGGTGCAGATGTTATTTGTTATGCCAAAAAGATAAAATTCTAATGTCATGAAAAGCAAGACCTTTAAAACAGCAGAATAACTTCATAAAATCAACCGTTAGTTCAAATATTCAACATTTAAACTAAAGTAAAAGGTATTTTATTTATTTATTTAATCAGAGCTGTGTGGATTTCATTTCAAATGAAAAAAACTGTAACCCAACACTGTAATACAACAAGAAACTGCTCGTTAACAAATTTCTAATCAGCCAATAACATGGCAGCAACTCAATGCATTTAGGCATGTAGACATGGTCAAGATGATCTGCTGCAGTTCAAACTGAGCATCAAAATAAGGGAAGAAAGGTGATTAAAGTGACTTTGAAAGTGGCATGATTGTTGGTGCCAGATGGGCTGCTTTGAGTATTTCAGAAACTGCTGATTTACTGGGATTTTCACACGCAACCATCTGCAGGGTTTACAGAGAATGGTCCGAAAAAGGGAAAATATCCAGTGAACGGCAGTTCTGTGGGTGCAAATGCCTTGTTGATGCCCGAGGTCTGAGGAGAATGGCCGATAGAAAGGCAACAGTACTTCAAATAATCACTCGTTACAACCGAGGTATGCAGATGAGCAACTCTGAACCCACAACGCGTCCAACCTTGAGGCAGATGGGATACAGCAGCAGAAGACCACACTGGGTGCAACTCCTGTCAGCTAAGAACAAGAAACTGAGGCTACAATTCGCACAGGCTCACAAAAATTGGACAATAGAAGACTGAAAATATGTTGCCTGGTCTGATGAGTCTTGATTTCTGCTGCGACTTTCAGATGGTTGGGAAAGAATTTGGCATCAACAGCATGAAAACATGGATTCATCCAGCCTTGTATCAATGGTTCAGGCTGGTGGTGGTTGTGTAATGGTGTGGGGGATATTTTCTTGGCACACTTTGGGCCCATTAGTACCAATTAAGCACTGTGTCAACACCACAGCCTTTCTGAGTACTGTTGCTGACCATAACCATCCCTTTATGACCACAGTGTACTTATCTTCTGATGGCTACTTGCAGCAGGATAACACACCAAGTCAGAAAGCGCAAATCATCTCGGACTGGTTTCTTAAACAAGACAATGAGTTTACTGTTATCAAATGGCCTCCATAGTCACCAGAATCAATCCAATAGAGCACCTTGGGATGTGGTAGAACGGGAGACTCTCATCATAAATGTGCAGCTGACAAATTTGCAGCAACTGTGATGCTATCATGTCAATACGGAGCAAAATCTCTTGAGTTATATTTCCACTACCTTGTTGAATCTATGCCATGAGGATTAAGGCAGTTTTGGAGGCAAAAGGGGGTCCAACCCAGTACTAATTAGGTGTACCTAATAAAGTGGCAGGTGAGTGGATTTATCTATAGAACCACTCAAGGCATATAGTCACATCTCTTGAATGAGAATGACTTTCCTAATATATTTCCTTTATTATGACTACATAAATTAGAAAAGGTTTCAAGAATAAAAGTGTGTGGGTTTTTCCCAGTAATGGGTTGCAGCTGGAAGGGCATCCGCTGTGTAAAACATATGGTGTATAAGTTGGCGGTTCATTCTGCTGCAGCGACCCCTGATTAATAAAGGGACTAAGCTGAAAAGAAAATGAATGAATGAATAAATGAATAGGTTTCAAGCAATGACTGTAAAAAAAATATGAAGCACGAGGGTAATGAGCGCCCTCTGCTGGATCTTAGATTTAGCATTCCTGATATAAATCATAAGACTCTTTCTGACCTTTGTCCTGCTTTTTGGAGGCATTAAAATTTGTTATTTGAAACATAATTTTTTTAACTTTGTGATAATTGGCATCCTGAGTATAAAACCCAATAAATCCTCAATCAAGAATCATGTAGTTTGTTTCGTTTCTAATCATTCAACTGTAGAATGTTTCACGTAGCAAATTAACTCTGAAAAAAAAAAAAAACTACACTACTTGCATTTAGAGGGTAGGTTAACCCCTAAATTAAAATTCTGTCATTAAGTTTCCTCATATCGTTGTCAATACAATGAGACCATTCATATTCTGAACAGATATGAAGATATTTTAGATGAAATGTGAGAGCTGTCATCCTCTATAGACAGCTACGGTACAGAGATGTTCAAAGTTTAAAAAAAAAAAAAACATTTTTAAAACATCCCATCCGACTTCAATTGGTTTACTGTAATCATACAAAGCTCCCAGAAAACTACTGTGACTGTTTGCCGTCTTCCATATCAGATCAAGTTGCACTTTTACTATGAGGAAAGTGCTTGAAGCTTCATATGATTACAGTTGAGCCTATGAAGTATCATGGACATTTCAGGCCTTACAATGTCTCAGGACATCTGCTGTGTGCACTCGAATTTCATCTAAAATACTTTCATTTTATGTTCCAAAGATGAACAAAGGTCTCAGGGGGTTGAAATGACACGAGGGGGAATTTGAAAAAATTAAATTTTTAAATGAACTAACTCTCTAAAGTAGTCACTAATAATGGACAGAAATCAGAAAGAGCTTTATGTTCGCACACGAGGAATTTGTTTTTATGACAGAGCTTCTACAGTGCAACAGAATTACAGACAGGACAAAAAACAGATTATATATATATATATATATATATATATATATATATATATATATATATATATATATATATATATATATATATATATATATATAAGCAGCAAGTAGTACATGCAAATATACAAACAGACAAGTGTATGTGCCTTATTACTATATACGTTATATGTGCAACTGTTATGTGCAAAATGGAATGTAAAGTGTGTTGTTAAATAAGTGTATATGTGTATAAAAGTGTATAACATTATCAAGTTGTTATCAAGTGTTGCATGAGAAGGATTGCCTGAGGGAAGAAACAGTTTCTGTGTCTGGCTGTTCTGGTGCACAGTGCTCTGTAGCATCAACCTGAAGGTAAAAGTTCATAGGCAGTGTGCAGGGTGTGAGGGGTCCAGAGTAATTTTGGCAGCCCTTTTGCTCGCTCTGGATAAGTACAGTTCTCGTAGAGTAGGGAGGGTTGTACCAGTGATTCGCTCAGCAGTCCGAACTATTTGACGTAGTCTTCGGAGGTCGGATTATGTAGCTGAGCTAAACCAGACAGTTATTGACGCGCAGATGACTGATTCAATGATGGAGGTGTAGAAATGTTTTAGCAGCTCCCTTGGAAGGTTGAACTTCCTCAGCTGACGAAGTACAGCCTCTGAGCTTTTTTGACAGTACATTATTGCATACTAAAGGCAAGCCCAGACTATGACTATGCTGAAACACCATTCAGACTTATAAATTACTATGGTTTTCAACTGTAAAACATACCATTTAACACTTTGTATTCAACATTGAATCTGTTTATCCCCTGTATATTTTGTATCAATAATGTGTAAATTAACTGGTCTTTTAATGTTTGACTACATTAGTACCATTGTAATCCTATTAATGCCTTGTTTTACCCACCTGGGGCCCGTTTCAGAAAGGAGATTAAATGAAAACTTGAGTAGTTTAACCCTGAAATAAGAGAAACTCTGGGTTTTCCGTTTCAAAATGGCAGGTTTGTCAAACTCGAGAAAGCAGGGTAAGTCAAGCCTGTGTCTGAAAGAGAGGTCACTTTAACTCAAAGTCAGTTACCTTAGAAACTCTCTGTGAAACTTACTCTGTGACCTTAACCTGGTCAGGAGCAGGTTTTATTCTCTAAACTCGAGTTTCTGTCGGTGTCCTCCATTTTTTTTTTAAAGACGAAGCTATATTTCTCACCTTAGCCTTACATTTCCACCCATCTATTCTAATGCACATTTTAGAGATGCGTATAAAAAACGATTGATGGAAACGTCATGATGCACATAACTTTTAAAAATAAACATTATGAAATATGAGCATAACGGAGTACGATAAACTTTATATTTAATAAGATGCACATAAACTGCGCTGGAAACACTTTAACTTAACAAATTAAAGTATGTACATTAAAAAGGTTTGTTATAAGAGAATATATGATGATGAAAATGTGTGTGAATGGACAAACCAGCAGGCTGAGCACACTGTAGAACATCGGAAACGTTGTTTTGGTCATTCTAAATTGCATTAACCGTTTCAGTATTAATGTATATTAATTACCTCCAGAGCGTCAAGAGCATCTGTTCTCCGTGTCTCATGGCTTGAAACGCCCCCACGCGTTCATTGTGTATCATCAATGTCGTCTGAGGCACAAGTAGCTACATTTATTAAATAAAAAAAGATTGACAACTTTTACTGCGGTAAAATCTGTTTTTACTGTTAATATTTCAAAATGAACTGTAATTAATGGAATTATTACTCATTCTAAAACTATTTTTTAGTTCTGCTTACATTCTAAATGCCATATTAACCCTTTATCACAATAATAGAGGCAGACAACTGCACTTTAAATCTATTAAAACTGATCAACGTGTATAAAAGTGGGAACATGTTTTTTTTTTTTATAAATGTCACACGTTACATTCCTTTTTTATTATACTAAAATATTTAAATACTTTAGATGTAAAACTAAGCATTAACAGCAGCTATGTTTTCCCACGCTAACCGTCTGTTACATTGTTACTTTTTAAAATATATGGTCATATTTGCTGTAACTTTGCATGAGCACATCAAGTTCAGCTGGAGAAAGAAATGGTGATCTCTTTTTTTCAGATGTTGCCATGGTGAATTGTAATATCTGCGCTCCATTGATAATGCCTTTTTATAGTTGCGGTGTGCGCACTTAACTCTTGAGTTGGTCTACTCAATGTTGATTGACCTAACTCAGATCAGCTATTCTGAAACTGAAAACTCTGAGTTTTTAATCTCTCTGTAAATCAAATCAGAGTTCAAGTTTAAACTTAGAGTTGGTTGAACCTCCTTACTGAAACAGGCCCCTGGTGCCTGTCATGGATGAAAACGATGAGTCAACAGATTCATACACAATAGATTAAAAACAAATTTAAACTTTATTGGAATCTATTTCACATTTGATGATAGTCCACAGAAGGATAAAAAAAGAGAGAAGTCATGGGACACTAACAAAGTTTGCCAGCCTACAATCAAAAGATTAAAAGGTAGACGAAAAAACAACTGACATTAACCCTTATTGCCAAAATTTGTTTTAAAGCAATAATTGACAAAAAGATGAATTTACTGGTGACAAAGTCAAGGTGTACTGAATGTTTCTGAATTAATCACTACAACCATGTTTATGATAGTGAATGCATATCTATGTATACACATGCACACGTACAGAGAGATGTATTTGTTGTGGGAGTATTGTTTCTGTTACAGGCTGTAGAACTTGAGACTTCTGTCCATGCCTGTGGAAGCCAGGAACTGAGCATGTTCACCAAAAGCCACACCAGTCACCAGACCAGAATGATCTACAGGAAGAAGAAAAAGAAATTAAATTAGTTTGAGGACACAGAATAAGCTCTTAATTAAACAACAAACCCAATTTTGGACAAACTTCAAAGCGTTGTTCAACTCACCGGAGAAGTTGAGGACCTCGGACCACTGTTTGCAGATATAAACTCTGATGTCTGACCCTCCCACAGCTAGATATGTTCCACTCTGATCAAACACCAGGGACTTGACCTACATGATCAAAAAAACAGCAAAAATATTAGACAAACGTCCTGTAAGCAGAACAACTGGCAAACTGATTAAAACCATTTGACAGTGATATTTCTGGGATTCGACCTCGTAATTGTTGTCCAGAGTGATTGTCTTGAAGTTCTTCAGCTTCCTCAGATCCCACAGCTTCAGTGAACTGTCCTGAGCACCTGCATACAAAAAAAATGTAGTTTGCATGACAGTGAACACAAGTGATACTCAATGCAGAGCCAAATGGGCAGAGCTTGCTCAGAGTTAACATCTGTCATGATAAAAACTGGGGGCTACTGCGGAAAGCAGGTAATTGGACATGTACGTATAAGTGCCATGTAAGTGAATAACTGCAGCTTTCAGGTCCAAAAACCAAGATATCTTTTATAGTAAGAAACAATTGCTCTAAATATGCAGCAGGTTACGTTTTAGGGTTAGTTAGCTTCTTATCTACCTACCTACCTACCTACCAACCAACCAACCCAACTTCCTACCAACCTAGCCTCTACCTTTAGCTTCCTACCAACCTACCTAACTACTTACTTGCCTAACTTTTAACTACCTTTCTACCTACCCATTTAGCTTTGTACCTACCTACATACCCAACTGCCTACCTACCAAATTGTCCTACCTACCAACCTACCCATCTTCCTACCTACCTACCTAACAACCTCTCACACCCACTCTCTCTCTATTTCAGACTTACTCTCTCACACGAACTTCCTACCTACCTACCGAACTTCCGACCTACCTACCGAACTTACTACCGACCTACCGAACTTACTACCGACCTACCGAACTTTCTCCGACCTACCGAACTTGCTACCAACCTACCAAACTTGCTACCAACCTACCAAACTTGCTACCAACCTACTAAACTTCCTACCAACCTACTAAACTTCCTACCAACCTACTAAACTTCCTACCAACCTACCACACCCCCTACCTAACTTTTGAACTACCTACCTCTTAAACTCACTTATACATCAACATCCTATAGACCAGTGTTTCTCAACCACAATCCTGGAGGACCACAAACACTGCATGCTTTGGATCTCTCCTATGTCTGTCACACCCATTACAGGTTTTTCAGTCTCTGCTAATGAGCTAATGACTGGAATCAGGTGCGTTTGGTCAAGGTGACATGGAAAATGTGCTAAGCTGATGGGCCTCCAAGAATGTGATTGAGAAACACTGATACACCCAACTATAGACCTGAACAGTGCAGTGGCTTACAAATATTCAAAGACAAAATGCAATCCAAAGATGCCTTTTAAAAGAAATCTGTGTTTTTAAAACTAATATACCAGAAATCAATGATTTATTTTATTGATTAGACACATTTACTGTTTCACAATATTATGTCTCTTAAAATGAAATACATGTTTAGTAGTATAAAAAACTGATGTTTTTACCCAGACATTTAAAAAGAACATAACCAAGGTTATCATAGCGTCCGAATCTCATACAAGCCCATGCCTAATATATATGGTTGTGTGTGTTTCTTAATTTCTACTATTTCTTAATTTCTACTATTATTAGCATATAATATTACTATTTCTTAATTTATTTTGTAAGTTAAACACTCAAAATATGTTTAATTTATTTTTACTATTATTTACTTCTTACTATCTTACTATCTTTTAATAAAATACACCGGTTATGCAATCTTATTACAGAAATATATTCCCCCCCTAACAAATATGGAAGCAAAACCAACCAATCATTAAAAACAACTTCCAAAAGAGAAAGTGTAAAAAGTGTGTGCATGAATTCAAATCCACTTCATTATCCTGGATGTTGACAGCAGCTTCCTGACACGCACATATTACTGGACTACACTATCATTATATTATATACACACAGTAGAAGCCTACATCAAACACTTAAGGTAACAATGATTCATGACTAATGATTAATCTAGTTCTGTTAATAGAACTTACTCTCAAAAGAAGTTTTGGTGCACATACTTTGAGTAAGCAAGTTAAGGGTTAATCAACGCAGAGTTCAGGGTTAAGCAAACAGAACACCTACTTTGCAGCAATGCAGTAAAATTACAAAAATATATAAACTGTAAGAATTTATATAATCTTTAAGAACTTAATTACAGTAAGATGTTATAATGTCTCAAGCAAACCTCTGCATTAAATGTAATGTTTCATTTTTCTAATAATTTTAATTTCCGTTTTTTTTCGTAATAACTCTAGTTCTCTAGAGCTGCAGAGAAGTAAACTAAAACTTGCTAAACAACACAGAACTTAATCAACACTGAAATAGTCACCATGGCTTCTTTATAGCATGATTCAGATCATATTTGATGGAGGCCCTTAATTCTGTCATTTTTTGCATTAATAACTGTAAGGCTGATTTGCAACAATGTACTGTAAAACAGTATTTAAATAACTACTTCAGAAAACAGGTAAAATGCAGATTGAACAATGGACACAGACAGATCACATGACTCACCAGTGGCTAGATAGTATCCATTCTCAGAGAAGGCAATGGCCGTGACTGGACCTGAATGTCCAGGGAAGTTGGCTACATTGGTTCGTTCCTTAAGATCCCAGATCTTAATCTGAGAATCGCCCGTACCAGTGCCGAAAATCAGACCATCAGGATGGAACTGTGCACAGGTTAAAGCTGAAAGAATGAGGCAGAAATGCTTTTTAAATGAAGAGACAAATTAACACTAGACCTACCAGTACTACTTGGCCATAGCTGTCCTTTTGGCTGTTTTGTACCAAACTGAATTTTTTTTTTTTTACATTTTAAGATTTTATTATCAAATTTTTAATGTTTTTCCTTATACTTTATGAAGTCATTACCCTAAAAATACTATCTTTTTTTTTTTTGTAACATGGCTTATAATCATGTACAAAATGCCTGTATTAAATATGTTGAGTGAAATATTTTGAAGTAAATCATTACATTTCATTTTTATCCTAACTTGACAAATTCTAAAAGAGAGCTTGTTTCAGTTTCCACACTTATAAAAATAGCATTCAAAAAACACTTATTCAAAATCTGACACAGTGCAGCTAAAATAATAAAACATACCACATCCAGCAGTCTCATCAGTGACTTTGGTCAGGACACGTCCAGTTTGGATATCGGAGAAGGCCCAGTACTACAAAACAAACATTTAAAAATGTAACTACACAGAATAAAAATGTAACTACACAGAGACTTCCCTTCCATAAAAATAACAAAGCATGTTCTTTTTACATGGGAAGTGAAACGGAAAACCACAACAACAGTTTCCACTCGTTCTGGGGAAATTTTATTTATTTTTAAATAAAATGTCAATTTTTAAAAAATCATGATTTGACAAATGGTTGTTTCTGCTAAAGTAGTCTTTGACAATGCTTTTATCCAGTAAGTGTAGCATACTGCTAATGTTGTAAATTATGCTTGATTCACATTTTATTGCAAAGCTACAAAAATTTTCTTAATTGTCTTTAAAATCATATTTCCCTCAAATATAGTCTTAAATTGGCCCAAATCTTCAAAAGCGTCAGCACTTGTGGCCAACAAAAACAAACAAGACAAGAATTATGGCAAAGACAAAATTCTGTTATTTTAAATTTTTTTAAGATTTTAGTAAATAATGCATGTAGAGGTTTAAATAATGTAACCTTGAAAAGTGTAACTATGGAAATGTACACACAGAGGCCGCATCAAAAACACTACATACACTGCACAAACTTCTTACACTCTAAGAGAAAGTGGCCATCGTTTGCTGATTCTCATTTGAAAGGTGTGAAGTGGCTTTCACAATGGATGTGGAAAGCAATGTGCTATGAACTCAATTTATTTCACTAGCTCATGGCATGCCAGGGCGGTTAGTGGCTATGCCAACAAAACACATCATCTGACACGCATCTCAGTTAAAGCAACTACATTTAAAAAAAAAAACAAAGTCAAAAAAGTAAATTTTTTGCTCTGTATTACCTGCAATATGAGAAACAATGCTATAAAAAAAACATAGCATTTTTTTATATAAATAGAAAGTAAAATTTCAAACAACTTGCATCACACAAGAAATATATAACTTCAACATCTGGAATAGACCATTTAAATTTAGTGACATTACAAAAAAAGGTTTAGGTATAGGGTTGGAGTAGGGTGATAGAAAATACAGTTTGCGCAGTGTAAAAATAAGGGAAACCTATAAAATGTCCCCTTAATTCACAAAAACAATTGTGTGTGTGTGTGTTACCTGGTCCTCAGATGAGCTCAGTAAATAGTCCCCAGTAGCGTGCAGAGAGAGGCCAGTAACAGCAGACTCATGGGCCCTGACCACTTGCACACAGTTGCCTCCAGTAACGGACCACACTCTAATAGTGCTGTCTGAAGATGCTGAGAACACCACCGCCTGACAAAGAGCACAAGAGGAGAGACATGAGAGCTAAATACAAACCAGGAACCATTTTATATATTCAAAACAAGAGCAATGGCATACCTGAGCAGGGTGGTAGATGACAGATGAGACCTTTTTGGTGTGTCCTTTGAGGGTGGCAACAATCTGCTCCTCACGACGGTCAAACACCACCACGTTCTTATCCGCACCACCTGGAAAGCGTAGCAAACTGAGGTTTTAATTTGAGAGAACCATGTGGTAGCTCTCCTTGTTTACATCTTAATTTTAGATTAGTTATTTCTACTTCAGCAAAACAGTCACAATTAATCCAACAAAAAGGAAGGAGCTGCAAAAAAAGAAACAAAAAAGGGCAACAGTATTTTTCCTTGCATGATCAATCATTTGTGACCAAGAGGGTGCAGATGACACATGCAAGAATTGTGTTAGGGGATGCTTATGGTTTGGAAACATAAATGTGTGCTTTCTAGTGTTGTTATGATGCTGACATGTTTAAAACCTCAATTTCCAACTAACATTTGAGTGTTGTTAAGTACATGCTCAACAGAGCTCAAATGTTTGCGGGGAAATGGACATTTTTAAAATTTCTGTACCAATTGGTCCTGCAATTCAGTATCGTGACAACACAAGTGCTTTCTACCAGCATTTTATGTAACATCCCAAAAGGGGGACTTACAAAGGATATATTATACACAGTTCATCAAAATAGTAAGTAACATCACAAAATTCTAAGAATCAGGACACATTCAAAACACTCATCTGACAAACTACTAATGGAAATTATACCGGTGAGGACTTTGTTGGTGTCTGTTGGGCAGAGATCCAGAGAGAGGATTCCTGGTACACTGGCACTGTGAAGACCCTGTTGAAAAGAGCAAAACAACTGATTTGATGTAATGTTTCAAATAAAATTGTACAGCGATCTAAACTAAATCAAAGGAAAGACTAACTCACAACACTTTACATAGAATAGGCATGGGAGGATAATGGTTTTACCACAGGTATACCACAGTTTGGAAAAGTCTTTAGTTTTAAAACCAGCTAAAAATTTCTGCTATACCATTCCTTTGGTATATGTAACATTTTTTTTAAGACAACAGTATCTCTAGCAGAAAAGATCCAAAGATCCCATTTTAAATCGTAAAGAAATCTGTGTTTTTAAACTAAATAAAGACATCTGAAGTCAATGATTTATTTGAATTACTTAGCCTGACATGTTTACTGTTCCAGAATATTTTAAATCTTTCTTTACATAAAATATATTGTGTTCAAAGGGGGGAAAAGTTTTAGTTTTTTACCCAGATATTAAAAAAATACAATTTAGAGGAGTAATCATAATACTGTGAAGGTTATCATACCATCAGAATCTTATACCAGCCCAAGCCTAAGACAGAAACTCCATTTGTCAAACTTTGAGGTGGAAATTGTTGATTTTTATCTTAATTTCTAAACAGAGAATAATTTTTTTTTAAAAGTTTAAATTCAACAGAGTTTAAAGTTAGCATGCTTCTCAGCTAACAATATGACATGGTAATAACTATAAAAGTGTGTATTAGTTTTATTAAGATTTTACAATTAAGATTAAGATATAAGTCGATATTTACACAATGTGATTCAGACGTCATTTTCTTCCCAATAGCTGTGCCTTCAAAGATGCTGTCACAGAATTTGATCAAAACAGGATTTCTAGAACAATTTTATGCTTACTTGGCAATTTTTTTTTACCAGGACATATGGAAAGAGAGAATTTTGAATTTATTGCCATATCAGCTTTTATGGCTATATCATGGCAAAAAAAGATCAGGTTTACCACATTTTAAAAAATAATACTTTTCTATAATTATAAAAATATTCTAACAATTAAAAGTCATCGAAAGCAATAAATACAGAAGATAAAAATACAAAGTAATAATGAGAATACATAAGATAAAAATCTAAAACTTTTTTTTAAGGATTTAGTTTTGATGAAAATTTAACAATTTTAAAATTAAATACTACATTTCAAGTCCCTCCAGACAATAATTGTTGTCGGATAACAATAAAAATAGGGCATTGCACAAGAATATTTTTAACAGCTTGGTTTCTGTTGCAATATAGACATTTTAGGGGTTTTTCTCCTTTAGCAAGTGTTCAGTGCGAGTTTTTTTGTGTCCGGAACGTCATCTTCTGCATACAATCTCATCATTTCTTGAGTTTTAAAAAAAAAATTGGATTTTGATCCTATTTCAGGCTGGATTTCATAGTTTATTTTTTGAGCACTAATCCTACCATAATGGTATAAAATCAGCTTAAATAAACATAATGGATTTTTTTAATGAGCCTAATATATTGACCTCTGAAAAAAACTAAACCTTTTTTAACAATAAATGTACCAAATGTAGCACTTTTTAGAAGCGGTTTTCTTATGATATAGAAAAAAAACATCCAGCTTATATAACCTTTGTGGACATCAGGCCTACACAACATATGTTAAACAAAAATATGCACGCATACACACTGTGTAAAATTGGATACTCACAGCATGGGATCCCACTTGGCGATACTTGCTGAGATCTTCTGCTCTGACCAGCTCTTCTGGCACGGTCTTTCCTCTCTGAAAAACAAACACGTAAAAGGTTACAGACATTGAAAAGCACATCAAATAACAGTGACCACAAACTGCTAATTAAACGTTTACCTTCTTTCTCTCGGTGGTCAGAACAGTGGCCTTGTCTTGAAGCTGTAATGTAAGAAAAAGTCTTTGAATCCCTTTGTACATGTGTGAGCAATGAGAACACTGCTGAATATACTTGTGGATTCACAAACCTTCTGTATGATCTCCGGAGTCATTCCAACCTGTTCACTGACCTCCATGGCCTCACCACCAGCACCCTATGAAAACAGAAAATTATATATTTAACTCCATTGTACTATGGCTATGAGGGGGTTGAATTATTTTACATTTAAAATTGAACATAAAACCATAAAATAAATAAATATCGGATTCACAATTCATCTCAGAATTAATTCTCAACTTTTGAAATAAATTCCTGCATTATATGAAATAACTTTTTTTTCCTGCATCTTTCATTTTGAAAGAGATTATAATCTAAAAGTATTTTTTTTTCAGAATCTTGAGAAATTTTTTTTTAATATATATATTAGAGGTTGCACTGACTAGTCGACTAATCAACTAGTTGACTTTAATGCTCTGCCGTGATGCTTTTTGATAAACTTCGACTAGTCTCACTGTGCAGATCACGTTGTTTGACCAGAACTACATGCAGCTTTACACACTAAGGTGGAACCACGAGTGCACGGATGTTGTCACTGAATGAAACTGCCCTCCGATTATTTAAAATACATTTTTTTAACTGTATTTTTTATGTCAGCGTCAAAGATTCACGTGAACTTGTATTGAACTTTAAATCGGTGCCAGTTAGGTTTAAGCAACCCTGAAAAGTAATGTGATTGTCTGCTGCCCTCTACAAACCTGTGAAAAAATGTGAAGTGCACAGCCGCAAAGGTGTGATAAACTTCACAGCTTGTGTAGGTGTAAACATCATCAACATTGGTGAACCTGGTGAAGATGTACAGCAAGCAGACTTCTGTAACTAAAATGAGCCAGTGACCACAAAAAACGCCTGACTTAAGCAGGATTTTGAGCAGCTTTCTAGTGCGCATGATCATAGCGATAAAATATAAAATACATTAAATATAATGTAATATTTATAAAATATGAGTCTGATTAGGACTCCGACAGTGTAATATGGCTTAATGTTATAGCCTGTCCTTTCTGCGTTATGTATAACGTCACATGAATCTGTGTGCTGCATTATTTCTGCACAAAAATATCTGTTATTGTTACATTCTTACTAGAATGTGCAGTGATCAATGTGTTAACTGCATTTATTTCGCAGTAAAATTTAGTCCGGGTGCTAATGTTACATTAATAACGAAAGAGTCGACAGTGTATTTGTTTTGCACTAAAATGGTGTCATTGGTGTAATGTTGCATTGTTCTTGCAACGCGTTATGAGCGTTCCAACAGCATGGAAACATATTCTGTCCTGCAAATAAATCGCAAATTGTGGCATGTTGCAAAACATTTGCATCTTATGTTTTTTTTTGATGACGCTAAAAGCTACTAGTTGACTCAACTTTGATAATATAAAAGTCGACTTTCAAAAATCTAAAATCGTCAACCTCTTTTTTACATTTAATGAAATTCAATAAAAATGGTAAGGCAGTTACCAAAAACATTTAAACACTTTATAAATATCACATTTCTAAAATAATAAAAAAGCAAAAAAATAACAATCTAAAACCGTTTTTTAAGGTTTACTCTTGCTACAAAATTTTACCTTAAAAATTATTATAATTGCTGTCTAATAACATTAAAAATAGTGGCCATTTCTATTTGAAAAACCTCAAAGTACCTATGGTTCATGAGTGAATTAAGATTTTTTTTTTCACGCTACATTATGAATATCTAAAGAAATTACTGACCACAGCAGCGGGCTGAGAAGCAGGAGCGGCCTGTGGAGCGACCAGTCCAGCCTGGGGTTTGAGGGTAGCCAAAGCTGCAAGCAGAACAATGTGTCAGTGATGGCACAATTCCAGTCAACATCTCATCCTGAAAGCAATCATGCCACTCTTACCTTCTCTGGCAGCAGTGACCTCTTTTGTAAGACGAGCAATGACTCTGCAGGCTGCATCATGCTGGTAGAGAGCATGAGAAAGCTCTTGTCGTGTTGTCTGCAACTGCTGCCTCAGTGTAAAACTGTGCAGCATCACGGCGTCCTGAAAGAGAGAGAGAGAGAAAAAAACTGTGTTAATCTAAAATATAATCATTCTTTTATAACAATCACCAAATATTAAATGGAAAAGTTTTTCATACGTTGAATGATGCATGTATAATTGCACATATTGCACACAGAATAAGCAGGCTTTGTTGAATTATTTCATAAATAACTGGACGTATCATTCTAAAATCCCAGTGAAGTGGTACAGGATTATTTTGTTTCTCCAGTCTATGGTACAGACTCTGCCAGATGGTTTGTTTTGGGAACAGGTAGGCATTTTTACTGCTTGTAGATTTTGATGCACGAAGATATATCATATAAGTATCTAAAAGTGCAAGGGAGATTCTTTGCATTTGTAGTGCGCACGCCAAAAGATCAAATTCATGTTAAACTTTTGACTAAAATGTATATACACTCGATCAATTTAACATTTATATAAACAATATCTTCAGATAAGGTACATGATTGTATCAAATCCTGATGTTACATCTGAATGTGTCATTTTTACATCATCCCAAAAGGCAATTAGGCCTAAAATCAATATCTCGATTTGATTCAACATTTTAACTTGGTTGCGATTAATGAACAATTATTTTATTTATAAAAATTTTTGGTCCCCAAAAACATTCACTGACAAGTTTTTTATAGTAAATATGCTCACATTTTACAAGTGAGAGATTTCTGAACAAAGGGTGCATAACTTGATTTTAAAAGAATTGAAGTAAACTCTCACTATCTACTATCTCTGATTATTTTTATTGAACATCAACGTTGAACAACTGAAATTAAAACACACATTGCCTAAAATCAACAGTCACCTTTTTCTTATAAAAAAGTGAAAATAAATAACTTGCACTTTTGGAAACAAAATTATTATTATTATTTTTTTTCATAATAAAAATAAAAATTAAGCTACATCTCTTGTAAATAACATATCTCTTGCATATCCAGTAAAGAACATTTTAAACAGTGCATTTCTTGAATGTTCTGTAAAGAAATATTTTAATGTAAATAATAATGTTATTGTAATAGAAAATATGCAATCTCAAGTCATCACTGGAGCAGCTTCCAATCATTGTCAATGTAGTGTAAACGTGCGACATGTAGTTACATTTTAACGAACATTTTAACTGTGCCGGACCGTATCCATGCATTCGATGCAGAAGTATAAATCTTATAAATCATATAAATCTTAACAGAGCGGAATCACGTGACTCCACATGCGGTAAGTTATTAAAAAGATTGATATATACACACACATACATACATATATATACACATACATATACACACACACACATATATATATATATATATATATATATATATATATATATATATATAATATATATATATATATATATATATATATATATATAGAGAGAGAGAGAGAGAGAGAGAGAGAGAGAGAGAGAGAGAGAGAGAGAGAGAGAGAGAGAGAGAGAGAGAGAGAAATATCATTCCTATAAGCTAATATGCTCAAGCTTAAACATTTTTCTATGAAAGTACATTTTTGCTTGCATTAAAAATAATAAACAAAAATAACCACTTCTCTAATCCAAATTTTAATAAACGAAAACCCTTAAACAGAGGCTTAGAAAACATTCACGATTTGGGTCATGACACACCAGCTCATGGTGCTTTTATCTCAATCACAATGATTCACAGATTATCATCACAGATGATAATGACAAATTTATTTTGCATAACAGCAATAGCGGTCTTTTCATTATCAGCTTTTTCTTAGTGAATGTATGCTCTTTTAAAAAATGGAATAAGTGCATGACTGACAGCATCATGACGATTAAATTAGGGATTAAATGTTAGAACATCTTGTGTTTAAAATGTGTAAATGTGGCTACCCGAAAACTCCCTCCCACCGGCTTAAGGTGAATGAATTTAGTCATTTTCATAGCAGACTTTAACCCATTGGAAGTTTTTTGTCCACTCTTAAAAAAAAGTGTAAATGGTGCTTCAACATTCACCACATGATCAATAACATGTGTGATTTTTTTGTAATTTTAGGTGGGTACTAAAACAAAATCTGTCAATGTTATTTTCATTCTCTTGTATCCAGACATTTACATTTTCACAGCAGTAGCTCTCTTGTCATCTGAACTGAGGGACTGATAGCTGATATTAACCAATCCATTTGCATTTTGTTCTAGAGCAGTGGGTCAATAAGAAGAGCTTGAAGGTGGGGCAGTCATTGCAGGATTTGTTTACTACAGCAAGTTGAAAAGTCAACTGTTTTATACCATTCCTGAGCACTGCGTTTTTTGTTTGTTTTTTTTTTTTGGTGCAAAGACGCATTCTGTGTGAACATCTCCTAAATCCGTGCATATGGTGAACATTTTGTAGAAAAACTCGTTGCACAACAGCAATTTTATGAGGATGTGGTGTGAACTTTAACAGTAGAAGCCGCACTAAAATGGCCTAGTGACCCCCATGATCAGACTGTTTAACTTTATTTGAAAAAAAAAAAAACTTGCCAATGTAAACACTTATTTATTCTCCATACAGTCAGGTTAAAGGACTCACCCACTCATCCTGTAGAGACTTGAGGATAGCAGGAATACTTGTGGCAGAGGGAGCCTTCGGTCGAATGGGATGAGACACTACAAGTAAAGAAACAAGTGTTTTGAAAAGAACCATAAATTGTCAGAAACTTTCATGAAATGGGTGTCATCTGTAGCTCTGTACCCTTGATATCAATGAGCTGCTCCTCAGACAGGGGCTGTCCATTGATGGGGTCAGCTCCATTCTCCGCTATGTATTTCTCAATCAGACGCCTCTCAAACACTTGGTTGGAAACAGGGGACACACAGGGGTGCTCCGGCACTTCGTTTGAAACTGGAAGAGAGAAATACACTCACTTCTCTTTCATTCATGACTACAAATATGACATGTCCATAATCTTTAGCACAAAATACATCATTATAATTTCGCAAATGTTAACCAGAAGTCTGTGTCAGGTTTTATAATGTGATACTTAAATTCAACAATTCCTTTGATATTCATATAACATGACGACATCACATTATTACATAATATTCTAGATTACGATACATTATATTCATGATTACTATCATACACAACGCCAATGTTTTGCTTGCCCAAATAGTTCAAGATTCCGACACAAACCATCAAAATATATATTAGCTTCTAGTTTAAATGGTAGAAATGTATAAGAATCGAAAAAATGCAAATGCAAGCTTATTAAAGTTTAGCTCCTCAAGCCCAAAGTTTCTGCTAATATTACACAACAATGGCTAACGCTGCACACTGCTAATCACTTATGCTAACAGAAATAAACTCACTTACTAGCACAAACCAAAGACATATCGTTCAAACAGACGCGCTTCCGCTTCTCAAATAAAGCTGAAATCAAATCAGTACATTTACTGATTTATTTTCAACACAAGGCTTTAGATTTCTTTATGAATCAAGGTGCTGCATGTCCTGAATCGGAACACGTTGAGAAGCCGTGCCGCTCAAACAGCGGTGCATGATGGGATACAGACTCTTCCAAGAGCGAAAAATGAAACCCGTGTTCTCTCGACAGGCGGCGCCGCGCACTGCAACACCACTGAGATGTGTTCAGAGAGGTCTGTTGCTGGCTAAAAACTATAACCTTTTACAGATACAATCGTCGTTAAATTAACATGTAAATGGGAGCGCTTAGAATTAATTAACAAACAATAGAGCGCCTTGTCATTACAAAACGCTGGAAAATGCTACAGTTGCCACGTGGTCAACATAATTAATTATAGGTTCCTCATCATTGATTTTGTGTTTATTTTTATTTAGTTTAGTGTGCCTGTATTTTTCTGACTTTCTTTCACTGTATTTGAAGAATATATATATATTTTTTAAATAAATACATAATATACATAATATTGATTTCCTACAAATTACCTGTTACAAATTACATGCTAAAAACAGCCTCTTCTGTAATGTTTTGTATTAACCTGTGATTTTGTAATGTATTCAGACTTCTTTTGGATTTCTTAAGGTTGCTTTTGATATAACTTGTTGGTTAATGGGATACACATAAAGAGAAAAACATAATGCATTAGACTCACTGACATCTTCTGCGGCTGAACTGTTATCAGTTCCAAATTTTAAGATGAAATCATTTGGTAGCAAGGCTTTTAGCTGCATAGCACCACAGTTATGGAATTCCCTGCCGTTAGATATTTGTCAGGTGCACTTTATCTCCAATTTTAAATCTTAGGTTAAAATCTTTCTGTTCAGGGTTGCTTTTAATGACTTTCTGGATTAATATTATGTTTATTACTCTTCTGTCTTGTGTGTATAAAGTGCCTGTGACATACTGTAAGGTTTCCTTGAGTGTTCTGAAAGGTGCCTATAAATAAAATGTATTATTATTATTATTAAAAAATGTTCTTCGCTCACATTCAGTAGTCACATTTCAACATTTGAATAATTCCACTGTTATGGATGTGACTTTTGCAGTTAAAACTCACAACATAAATTCAAATAGAAAATTTGTTAAATTTATATTGAAATATCTGTTTATGTTTTTCAGAACAACTGACCACAGAGTTAAGGGACCCTAAAAAAATTAATCCGTAAAAATTTTTGTACTTTAAATGAGGAAAATAAACATGTGTAATGGATGTAAACAAATATGCAAATTTGCAGTATACATTATTTGTAGAAATTCTGTGAATTAAACTGCACAACCCAAAAAACACCATGCTAATCAAAAGGATAAAATATGTCTCTCTAGAACAAAGATGATTGACTTTATTTTATTTGACATTTTTGCATTTATGTGGAAAAAGTGTCATTATGGATATGACTTCTCTATTATGGATGTGACCGATGTGAAATTGTCACTTGTGTGACCTTGGTAAATGAAATATAATTGTTTAAAAACATTGAGAGACATTTTTGAGTATTTCCAAAGTACTGTAAAATACAAGCCTTCACAAAAACTTAGAAACGGTTTTCATATTTTGGTTAATTTTTGTCATGGCAAGGTTGACATTTGCATGGAATTGCTCATTTACATTCATAATTGAATGAATGAATTAATGAATTAATTTATTTAACAGGGACAATACACAAAGATAACATTAACCTTAAAGAGAAAAGATGCATTGTGCCAGGTTGAAGCAGGATTGATAATTTCCACCTGCCGTCCCTGGACAGGTTAAAATTAAAACAATAAAATCCAATTAATTAAAAAGTCAGTTTAAAATATTCAAGTATAATTGCATATAAACTAAAACACTGACAATTCAAAAACACCTCACTCAGTGTGTACAAATTTGATTTGACAAAAACCACCTCCTAGTGAGGTGTGAAAACATCTTATAATTTGTACATGTGATTATTTCTGTTGGGAGAGAATTCCATAGATTTGAGGCTTTATAAATGAAAAAGGATTGACCAAAAGATATTATGTCTATAGGGACAAAACATTCCCCTCTTAATATAGAACGCGTCACTCGAGATGTTTTCTCTAACGTGGAATTTAAAAATGTTTTAACGATGGAGCAGAAAGATTGTGAATAATTTTAAAAACAAAACAATTATAATACATTGCCAAACATTGTTATATTTAATAATATTATCAAAAATAAGAGACTATGTTTTTTTAAGATATTGCAGTGATTGCAGGCTTTTTATCATGAATTTTAAGTGTTCTCTTGTATAATTAAAAATGATTTCCTGAGACCAGCTCGTTATACAGTACAACAAATGTGGAACAATCATAGTATTTAAATACATAACAGAGGCCTTATACGTCAGAGAATCTCTGATATGTTTAAAATTTCTTAGATTATCTCAGTATGGTAGCAAGGTTTTTAATATGAGTTTTAAAATTGGTTTGAGTCTAACTTGATGCCTAAATATTTGAATTCAGTGACATTTTTAATACTTTGCCCATTTATAAAAAAATTCTAAAACATTTCCAACTCTACACCTATTTAAGAAACACATGGGTACAGTCTTTTCAACATTAAAGGTAAGATTTGAATTTTGTAACCATTTAAAAACATTTTGCATTTCATTTGTATAATTCAGAATAATCAATTAAAAAAACAACATGCGCAGAACAGATAAATTCCAGGAAGCATTTTTTTTTGTTTTTAAAAGATGTTTAATAGATGTCTTATAGATGTCTAGACATACAGTAGTCGTCTTAGCTACAACAAAGTTAAAATTTGTCTGTCAATGAACATCTAATAGACATCTAATAAAAGGCCAAAACTAGACTAGTGGTCAACTAGACAGAAATGAATGAAAACACATAAAAATTCTGTGTAATCTGTCTATTTTTATTTTATTTTATTTATTTCTTTTGCAGAACTAAGGAATGTTTTATGGTTAAGCAAATAATGTGTTTGTTAATTAAATGCTCAATTTTAAAAAGGCTAAAATGCACTGTTGGATTAATGAATGATTATTTTATTTATTTGTTTTTTTCTCTCCTCAAAGTTCACTGACAGGTTTTGTAAAGTAAATATGCTCACATTACTTGATTTTAAAATAATCGAAGTAAACACATACTATCTACAATCTATATGATTATTTATTGAACATCAACGCTACCAAACCAACCAATTACAAAGCTTGCACTATGCGTCATTGTGACATGTAAGTTCATTTTTTTGACAGGTGTGCAGTATGCGAAGGCTGTGCTGGACTGTACTCATGCAAAAGTATAATTTCATAATTTTATTCATTAATTTTCTTTTCGGGTTAGTCTATTATTCTGGGGTCGCCACTGTGAAATTAACCGCCTACTTATCAAGCATATGTTTTATGCAGCGCATGCCCTTCCAACTGCAACACATTTCTGGAAAACATCCATACACACTCATACACTTCGGACAATTTAACCTACCCAATTCACCTGTACCGCATGTCTTTGGACTGTCGGAGAAACCTGAGCACCCGGAGGAAACCCACACAAACACAGGAAGAACATGTAAACTCCACACAGAAACGACAAGTGAACCAGCCAAAGCTCGAATCAGCAACCTTCTTGCTGTTAGGGCGACAGCACTACCTACTGCGCCACTGCGTCGCCTTAGATCATAATATTATAACAAGTATAAATCATAATATAATAAGTAAGGGGGGTCACATTCTCTACACATTTTTGGGAAAATAATTGAAAAACTTGACTTGGGAAAATTAGATTAATTATGAATTCTGAATGTCGATTTCGATTACTTTCCGATTTATTGCCCAGCCCTATTGTGTATATGTTGCTGTTTATAGGAATCTGAACTGTCGTTTCATTACAAAACCCCAAGTTTGAGATCTGTTTCTTGAAAAATCAATGCTCTTCACTGCCTAATTGAGATATGAAATACTGTGTAAAGTGGTTTCAGATTGCACAAGAAGCACTGCATTAAAATACATTGTCCTGCACCATGTTTTTTAAAATATAGAAATTTATTTTACTATATAGTTTTTTCAATGGAGGGGTGTCACGGTGGCACAGTGGTTATCACTGTCACCTCACAGCAAGAAGGCCACTTGTTTGAGTCCAGGCTAAGTCAGTTGGCATTTCAGTATGGAGTTTGCTTGTTCCCTCCATGTTCGCCTGGGTTTCCTCCTGGTGCTCCGGTTCTCCTACAGTTCATAGTGCAAACCCGCACACATTTAAGGACATTCAATCTAGGCTTCCAAGAGGGAGAGACTGACCGCTAGTAGGTTTATTAAGGCTAGAAATGTTACTAAAGAATGTGCATATAAATAGAGTGTTACTTTTGTGACGAAGACTGATCAATTATTGATGAATATATCTTGGGAAAGGTCAATAAAACAGTATTTAGAACAAAAAAATTAATGATATTAAGTCTTGGGTCATTTGTCACTTGAGTCATAATGAAAACGAAGATCCAGATACACTGTAAAACCTAAGTTAAGGTAACTCAAACCATTTGAGGAAACTGATTGCAACAAACCATTTAACTTCAAAAACTTATTCTAATGAGTACTGTGAACTTAATCAATTTGAATAAATGAAGAAATTTGAGCACAGTAAAACCCAATAAATGAAGACAACTCAAACCAACTGAGTACTGTAAAAACAAATAAGTTAAAACAACTCAAACCTTTTGAGGGAAACAATGCTACAAACCATTTGAGTTAACCATAGATTACCATAGATTAATGACTAATCTATATGAGTACTGTGAACTTTATCCATTTCAAAACTTTTTGTTTGATCCATTTCAAAACCATTCCAATAAAAACTTTGATTATAATTTTATTTCAAGAGTTCCCACTTAGATATCCTTAGCATTATAGCAGCTTTGGCATGCTGTCCCGGGAGAGGTAGGTCTCGATAGTTCCCCCTTTAGAAAGGGGAGAGAAAAAGGAGGAGAAGGGGTGGAAGGGGGGATTCTTCCGAAATGAAGATAGGGAAAAAAGGTAGAAAGTGATCCATTTATTGTAAGCTAGGATTACT